TAAGTATTTAGTCTAATCGTATTCGTTTTCTTAAACAAATACATGTAAAATTAGTTTTAATATCCTTGTAAACCTAACATATTTCAGCAGTGGAATTAGTTACATTCTGGAGTTGTAAGTTTTAGTAAGTTTAGTATATATATATATATATATATATATATATATATATATATATATATATATATATATATATATATATATATATATATATATATATATATATGCTTATATATATATATATATATATGCTTACTTCGAGAGTGATCAATAGCGCAATCTCTTCATGGTCTACCATACCAAATTTTATGAACTATTTAGCACTGGACAATCCATATATATATATATATATATATATATATATATATATATATATATATATATATATATATATATATATATATATATATATATATATATAATATGGTTTACGAAACTCAAACACTGCTCAATACCATATAGATAGAGCGTAATATAGTTTTTCGTTTTACCTCAAAAAACCACAACAGTCTGTTTCATCCGTATAGGAAACATCAGGTGGTGAGGAATAGGGTCATTGACAAAATTTTATGACCAAAGCATTGTTTCGACTAAGCATTTTTTTCACCACTTGTGAAAATTTGGGAGAAACTCGAAATTGCCTGGAAACACTCGCACTTCGCGCTCGTGTTCCCACGCAATTTCTCGTTTCTCCCAAACTTTCTCTCGTGTTCCTATTTAACAATTAGTCGCCGAAGGCGAGGTGATTACAAGCCTATATTCACTGAGCCGAAGGCGAAGTGAATATAGCTTGTAATCACCGAGCCTGAGGCGACTAATTGTTTTAGTATAAATTTCCAGGTGTTTACAAACAATAATCCACACAACTTTATAAAAATTCACTTCAAATAAATGTATTTTCGCTATAAATAGTTTGTTTACAAAATTTAAATCTCAGACACGGCTTTGTGTCGCGTTGCGACTAAGCCAGTTTTTTTCCAAATAAAAGCATGTAAAGTTTAATAGTTTACCTTGAAATATTTTTAAACCATATTTTATAGCTTGTTTGGGTTTTTTCGGAATGCTATCTTCTTTAATTTTGGCAATTTCCTCCTCTGTTACTACGGCAAAACGAGCAGCCATTTTGAAAAAAAAGCTATAGTCACTGACCAGTGACTATCACTTCAGAGACAGTGAATCTTGACCAATCAGAATGCAGAAAAATCAATAGTCACCTGGAAATTTATACTAATCTTCATTAGATACGAGCCTTGGAATACTACAACCCTAGACATGCACAACCAGCTAACAGGTGTTTATGCCTATTGCTGTACTCACATCAGTAAATAATTTTAATTCTTGGTCACTTTTGTTGAAGTTCCATTGAATGCTTATTGCTAGAACAGCTAGTTGTAACAAAATGCATGTGAGTTTTCAGAACATTATCCGTGTAGCATCGGGTATCAAAATTTGTTAGCTGATTACGTGTATAGTCGATATTTATGCCTTATACTTCACTTTGGTTGAAATTGTAAACATTCTGTTTCTCCCGCATTTCAGGCGTACGCTATTTCCGCAATAGCTCACTGGGACTGGCCAGAAGCCTGGCCAGATTTGTTTGGAACTCTGATGCACGCTCTCTTGTCTGATGACAACAATTTCGTTCATGGTGCAATGCGTGTATTGACTGAGTTCTCAAGTGAGGTAACAGATACTCAGATTCCTCAAGTTGCGCCAATAATTCTCCCGCAGATGTGTCTGATACTCACAGAAGATACGGTACAGTATATCTATATTATTATAATACATTGTAGTCGCTTGTTCTGTGACGTTAGTATTGGTAATGCTGGAATCATTGCCAATTTCTACAATTAGCCATTTCCCAAAGTCCTGGGTCTAGTCGTGCAAATCCCATGTTGCATGGAGGGACAAGAAATATGGCAGCACACATTTAAATTAAAAGTTTAATGTAAAAAGGAGATATTTCATTTTTGGTCGTCTAAAAAGTTGATATTTGATAGTATAGATACTTTCACATATTTGACGCCTGTCACCATATATTTTGTCCCTCCAAACGATCCCAGAATGCACTGTGATCTCTTTTGGGAAAAGGCTAATTGAATGTACATCCGATTCACAAAATAGATGTTTGATGTATCGTCTAATACACTTTTAAACTTTTAAGTTATAGTTAAAATATGATCGGCGGATCTTTATGCATGGCATTTACAGCAGCGCGAGCCATTGTTAAATGCCCATAAAGATCAGCCGCTCATAGTTTAACGAACTTGTAAAGTGACAGGGTTCGTACAAAACTTGAAAGTTCTTGAATGTCCTTGAATTGGAAAACAAAAATCCAATGCCTTGAATATTCTTGCATTTGCAAATAAGTACATGAAAGTCCTTAAATTTTTCTTGCTAAAAGTTTATGGATATTTTCTGAAATTGTTTGACGTTCAAAACGGACATTTTGTTGATTTGATTTTGCATGTTCATATTTGACAAATTTAAAGCTGTTTGAAATTCATTAAAGTTGCGCACTTTCTGAACAATTCAACGTCGCATTTTACTGAATCCTTCTCTTCAGTATTTAGTGCTTAAATTTGCTGATACATGGTCTTGATCTCGAATGTCCTTAAAAAGTATTTGAATTTGACGCTTCCTGACGTGTATGAACCCTGAAATGAATTTATATTTGTTTACTTTATTATTATAATAGTATTCACTGCCCATGGGGACAATCTCACGCATTCATTAGCATGCATTTACAGCGTTCGTTTTGATTCTAATAAATCTTCCTGCTTCTGAATTAGTTTTCATAACTTTCATAAACATCCCTCTAACATGACTTTCTGATCTTTACTGCGATTTACAAGTGTGCGCATGTCACCTAAATACCGCGTCGTGATTTGTTTGTAGCCTTATTAATTATTCATGAATTTTACAATTTATTATAAAGGGTTTCATTCACATTTGAAAGAACTCGTCAAATGGTAATGGAGCATATATTACAAATCTTTCGTCGTTTCTGAGATATTTCAATCCGTTTGATATGCAAATTATGACGTCACAAGCTGGGTACAAAATTTTAAAACATTAAAATATCAGAAAAATCCAGTTGATTGCTCACGTTAATGTCATGAAGAGTTGTCATATACACAATGCCAAGTCAATATCAAAAACAATTTGCACAATGTAGCTGATATTTTAAGGTTTTAAAATTTTGTACGTCATTTGTGACGTCATAATTTGCATATCAAACGGATTGAAATATCCCAGAAACGAAGCAAGATACGAAAGATTTGTAATATATGTTCCATTACCATTTCACAAGAAATTTTTGTTGCTCATACCCTTTATCAACTTTTAACAAGGATGAATTTTCATCATTGTGAGCTGCAAAACGAATGTATGTTAACGTGAACAACGATTACTATTCCAAGCATTAGGGACCGGTCATTATTTATGGCAGACGGTGGCACCGAAGAGAAAAGGGTAAACAAAACATTGAGTGAGTCAAAGGTTAGTTAAATGAAAAACAAAAGGACTCAAGGGTTGGGTAAATAAAAATTTATTGTCATTTCCAGAGCATGACTCACTCAAATATTGAAGACCAAAAAGCAATGTCAACAGTTATACAGTAGGTCAATACAATAGATTATGTAAATCAATCAATCAGAATCACTATCTTGATCATTTTCCGATTTGTCAGGAGGCAAATTGTGTCTACAAAGAAAGTACATGTGCAGACAACATGAAACTTTAAACTGCAGAAAATTGAGGTAAAGGACATGTGACAACTGAATGGTATCCTTTTGTAAAGTTATTGGCCAGGGATGGGTATTATTTTTTAATTGATATTTGAGGTTGAGTAAAAACATTTTTGGATTTGGTTGAGTCGGCAAACATTTCACCAAGAAAAACGTTTCTCTTCGCTGCCACTCCCTGTCATAAATAATAATCGTTCCCTTATGTCATGATCGTTTAATACTGCATGTATATCAGGTAGATAGATGGATAGCGCAGTGCGCAAGGCAATCTATAGATTTTCATACCTGAAATTTGTTCTCTTTTTAAAGAAATACAGTATTCGAACCAGAAGCAGAGCTGTGAATATATTTAATACTTTTGCTGAATTGATTGGAACATCCTGTGCAAAGGTATGGCTTACTGTCGCTTTTTGACCGTCCTTCTTTCCTATATAACTGTATAAGTGCAGTGGTTATAATTGGCAACATGACAAAAACAATATTATAATGTAAATATGATAATGTACAGTAGCATGCGCCGATGCGCGGGGCCCGGGACAAAATATTACCATGGGCTCCTATGACGTCATAATTGTAATAGTGGAGAAGAAGTATTTTACAATATATTGCACTTTATTGCATATTCTCCGGCACTGACACAGCTAGGATTTCTATTCTCTCGGGCAAACAATCTTGTATCACGAAAATATATTAAGGGACTTCATTGCTTTGGGGGCCCATTTGAGATGGGCATAGTGCCCCTCCCTCTCGGCGGCATTGCTATGGCTACGCCTAGAAAATATATTCTCTGCAGCGTAGATACTGGGTATGGGAAAAAGAAGAAATTCCTGTTCAATACTTTAAAACGTTTTACGAGTGCTATAAATATAGAATAATACACGTACATGGGTGCGCGGAAATACCAGATTTATTTCGAGTGTTGAACATGATACTGTATCTCAAGAGTGAGCGCAGCGAACGAGTGAGATATCATGTTCAACACGAGAAGTAAATCTGGTATTTCCAAGCATCCATGTATCTTTCTGTTTATTATATAAAGGACAGCGATAATACTTACAGAAAAGCGATAATTGAAAAGCGATATTATCATAAATAATCCCACATGTGAGATGATCAGTTTTATCAGTGCTCGAAATCTCTATAAAGCACTATACTTTGTATAATCACAGTTGATTTTCTAATCAACAGCTAATTAACTGTGGTATAACAAATGCCATTAAACCAGTTGTATAACAAATATTTTTATGTTTAGTCAGTGGCCAAGCAGTTGTTTCCAGTTCTGAAGAACTTTCCACCGGTCTTAACTCACGTCCTTGCCGTGCCTGATGGAGAAACGTCAGATTGTGGATTGAAAATGGAAGTTCTTAGGGTAAGTTGGGATGATAAAAAAGATTTAAATCACACCACTTCAGAAAAGATCTGCCACATTAAACACACAAGGGATTTTTATTCGAAAGAACTGCGTCATTGATAAAATCAGACTCCCTGTTAATGGTGCAGATAACATAACTACTGTACCTGTGCGTGCACTGTCACAATGAATAATTGTAAATGCCATTTCGCTTCTATTTATTTACTGCTACTGTTGCATACTATTTCTTGCGATTACATAGAATTTCTTGCGATTAAAAAATATTTTAACGTAATAGGGAGGGGGATGGGGTGTCAAGAAAGGCAGTCGGCCAACTCCCAATGTTTTCCTAAAACCTATGAAATGTAGCTGCATGATTAACCAAGTATTACTAACTACAAATTGCTACAAGGCCTTTTTCAAACATGTATATCCAATGCTCTAGTATCCCAAAGGTCGCGGGTTCGATTCCCACCGTGGTCAAGCAAACTTTTCAGCTTGCCCGGTGTGGATGCACACTCAGAGTAACACCACAAACATCATATTCACCTGAGTACATAACACCAACTCACACAAAAAGTTCGTAAATCCCATATTCGTATAATCGCACAAATTATGATTGAATTTGAACAAAACGCTTTGAGGAATGAAGTTTGCAGCAACGGAATAAGCTGGCTACGTGTTATGATACGATCAAACAAGTCACACAATGTTAAATAAAAGTATTTTATATAATAGAAGAGACCTTTTAAGCAAGGCCAAGAATCAACAATAAAGATCTACAAGTTAACACAATCCCAAGCAAAACAATCCCTTATATATGTTGGGGTGCCCCAAGCCATTTCCAGGGCCCGCTGATCTATAGTTCACTTAAATGTCTGGACCGTCAATATTATAATATCCTTTCCCTAATAAGTTTTATAACATCCTTTCCCTAATAAGTTTATAACAAGTAAGTTCAGCAACTTTCAATAAACCTGTCTTGTTTCTTTATCAACCTCTGGGACCTTCGGGTTGTCGGTTCGGGAGGGTCCATAGGAATTGGATCTGGCATTAGATCTGGACTCGGCTCTGGTGCAGCCATTGCTTCAGGTTGAAGGTTATGATCGCCGTCCTTAGGGACTGATATAATTTGTTTTTTATTCCTTCTGTACACACTACCACTTTCATCCCGCACCACATATGATCGTGGTAGAACTTCTGCAGAGCGCCATTTATTATCGTGCGGTTTGGGCGATTTCTAACTTTATCTCCAACTTCCAAAGGTGGTAGATCTCGGCCATTCCTATCATAGTATTTCTTCGAAACCAGTTGTCGGTGTTGAAGCCCCTTCACCACTTTAGCACATTCGGGAGTCTGTGGGAGCAATAAACGTCTGTGAGTCGGTATCATGATCCGAGTTCGTCGTCCCATCAGAAGTTGAGCAGGAGAGGATCCAATATCTTCAAATGGTGTATTGCGATATTTCAACAAACCTTCAAATGGATTTTTGTTATTTGCCACAGACTTTCTAAAGATCCGCTTTGCTGTCTGGACAGCTCTTTCAGCTGCCCCGTTTGATTGTGGATATTCTGGTAAGCTAGTTATATGTCGAAAACCCCAGTCTTTTGCAAATTTTTTGATCGTGTGAATCACCAAACACATTTCTTGTGTTACTGTACTTAGAGCCATTGTCGCTGACAACATTCTCAGGTATTCCAAATCTGGCAAATATTTTCTTTAGGTTATTGATGACACAACTTGCAGTACTTTAGCGGAGCAGTTCTACTTCAAAGTATTTTGAGTAGAAGTCCGTTACCAACAAGTATTGTTGACCTTGGAACTGAAAAATATCAGTTCCAACTATCTGCCATGGCAAATCTGGAATTTCGTGTGGATGTAGGGTTTCTTTTTGTTACTGATTCCGGAAGGAATTACAAACCGAGCAGGATTTGACCTTGTCTTTTATCTGTGCGATCATACCAGGCCAGAATACATAGTCTCGACCAAAAGATAAACTTTTTGTCTCGCCCATATGTGCACCATGAATGTCACTCAAAATATCACCTCTCAAATTTAGTGGTACCACCAGCCTATCTGATTTAAACAGCAACCCATTTTCTACACTGAGGTTCTCTCTGCAACTCCAAAAGTCACTCGCTAGTCGGTCTGCCTGATCCTTGCAGCTAGGCCAACCATGCAATACATAATTTGTGACAACTTGCATAGCATCATCACTACCAGTGGCCTCATGAAACTTTTCCAATGATTCACTGGCAAGTCCCAACTGTTCGACAAGATTGACACCAATTTCATCCTCAGGCAATGCCTGGGTGTTCTCAATGGGAGCTCTACTCGGACAATCTGAAAGAACCTGCTGTTTTCCCGGGACATATTGGACATCCAAATAGTATTTTCTAAGCTTCAATAGCATTCTCTGGAGTCTTGGTGGTGCTTCATTCAATGACTTCTTAAATATCGTCTCTAGAGGCTTATGGTCAGTCTTAACAGTTACCCTCCGTCCATAAAGAAATTTCTGAGTACCCCACAAGATGGCAAGAAGCTTCTCTCTCTCGATATTGGCATATCTGCGCTCACAAGCAGTCAATGTTCGAGATCCATAGGCCACTGGCTGGTCAGCTTGCATGACCACAGCTCCTAATCCTATACCACTTGCATCAACATTCAGTGTCGTTGGTTTCTGGTTATCAAAATATGCCAGGACTGGAGCATTAGTGATCAACGATTTCAACTTATCAAACGCGGTTTGCTGTTGTTGATCCCAAATAAATTCTACATTCTGCTGAGTCAACTGTGTAATCGGTTCCTGTAAATCGGCCTTGTGCTCAATGAATTTATCAAGATAATTCATTGTACCAACTACTCTAAGTACTCCTTTATCTGTTGGAGGTGGCATGTCCGATATTGCCTTAACTTTCGCAGGGTCAGGTTTTAAACCTTGTGCAGTAAGTAAGTGACCAACATAATCACCTCTGGGACTCGAAACTTGATCTTGTCAGGGTTGAACTTCAGTCCAACTTCACGACTTATATCTAGAATCAAACGTACTTTCTGATCTATGTTGTTAGTATTACCATGTATCAAAAAATCATCCATGATGATTTCCACCTGCAATCCTTGAAACAATCTCACCATTTCTCGCTGGTAAATTTCTGGTGCGGGTGCTATGCCAAAAGGCAATCTTGTAAAACGATAACGTCCCCAGGGTGTATTAAATATGAGTAACCTTGAGCTCTCAATATCCAAGTGAAGCTGCCAAAACCCGCTACAGGCATCCAGGGATGTAAACAATTGTGCACCTGACAGACGTGTTGCCACCTCTTCAATTGTTACCATAGGGTAATGTGGCCTTTTTAATGCCTTGTTCAAATCCCTGGGATCTAAACAAATTCTCACTTCTGATGCTGTTGGGGAACCGTCATTCTTGTTTTCTCCTTTCCGTTTATCTACCACCACCATGGATGATACCCACGGTGTATGGCCCTCTTCTCGGACTATTATCCCGTCTTCCTCCATTTCGTACAATTTTGCCTTAAGGGTCTACCTCCAGGTGAACCTCCGACGTTAAGTTGCCAGGCTTATAACTGAAACAATCCTGATAATTTTTCAACACTGGATCCGATTTAACAGTTTCCAGACCACGAGCCTTGGGTATACCCTCCAAATTTCCATCAAAAGATTCGTACATACTTCTCCTGAAATTAACTTTAAATTCATAAACTTAAGAATCTCAAGATCCAGGCAAGCATCACAGCTTAGTAAAGGGGTAAAATCCCCGTCCACCACAAGAAATGGCAAATTGATCTCTTTACCCTTGTACTGGGTGGCGAGTCGTACACAACCCTTCGGATTGATAGCTTTAACAGCAAGCCATCCCTTTAATGGCTGATGAATTTTCTGCAATGGTTTTTTGGTTAGTTCCTTATGGAGCTTAAATGGGATGACAGTCGCCTCAGCCCCAGTATCAGCCTTCATTTTTAGATATTACCAGCAACTTTTAACGAAACCATAGCCTTATCTTTTTTGTTATCCTTCGAGAGTGAAGCTATTTCAACTGAATTAAAATATGTATGCACCAAGTTAGATTTTTCGTGCTCACTATGGTCAGGGAGGTCCTCTTGTTGAACTGAGTTTAGTTTTTTGTCTCTTCTTGCATTTTTTTCTGGGCACATTCTTGCAAAATGCCCTAGCTTGTCACAGTTCCTACAATTTTTTTTAAATGCTGGGCATCTTGTTGGATGAGAGAATGAATGCTTATAACCACACAATTTACACGATAGTTTCCTCCCATTAGGATCTGACCTATCATTTGTACCCTTATCACGGCTGCTTAGTGTAAGGACAGTTTTTTCTGCAGCAGCCAGTGAAGAACAATTGATGCTTCTGCGACTCTGATGCTTCATACGTTCTGCAATAATCATGTGCTTGCTGAAGGGTAAGGTCAGGTTTTTTAAGTAGTTCTCCTCTTAAATTGTCTGACAAAACACCACCCACTATAGGATCTCTAATAAGGGAATCTTTGAGAGAGTCAAAATCACAAGTTAAAGCAAGTCTTTTAAGCTCGCTAACAAAATGATCAATTCTCTCACCTTCCTGCTGATTTCGACGATTAAACACCAACCTTTCATAGATTACGTTCTTAGCACCTCCAGACCATTCTTTAAACTTGTGGCATACATCCTTGTAACATTCTGCACTCTCACCCTCACCGTACACAAAGTGGCTATACTCCTCAATGGCTTGAGAACCAGCAAAATTCAGTAACAAGTTCACCTTTAACTTCGCCAATTTTCGGCAACATTCGCATCCAGTATCAATGGACCAGGCCTATTTCTTTCCTCATTCATCCTGACACCATGTTATGATACGATCAAACAAGCCACACAATGTTAAATAAAAGTATTTTATATAACAGAAGAGACCTTTTAAGCAAGGCCAAGAATCAACAATAAAGATTTACAAGTTAACACAATCCCAAGCAAAACAATCCCTTATATATGTTGGGGTGCCCCAAACCATTTCCAGGGCCCGCTGATCTATAGTTCACTTAAATGTCTGCACCGTCAACATTATAACACTACGAAAATTCGAACGCCCAACATTTCTCGAAGTTTCTGCCTACACTGATATAATGATGTCATTTTAACACTTCAATACTTCCTATACAGTTTATGTTATCTCTCGTTTCTCCTAAGGCGTTAGCAACATTGATCACGTACTTTCCTAAAGAAATGGCTGTTTATCTTGGCGAGGTGCTACCACATGTATGGAATACCTTGACACAAGGAGCTGATCGTTATCATAAGACTGTAATTAATTATATTGAAGAAGCTGATGATCCTGTTGATTCTGATGGTAAGCTGGATACTGATACTATATGAAGAGAAGCATCTTGTACACTGAAGGTGACGCCCTACACTTTTTAAGAAATTGAAGATTTTCTGATTTGGACATGAAAGAGTATCTCTGACTTGAATAAAACAATTACTAAGAAGTTCGGAGTTTTTAAAAACTTCTAACAGGGTTCGTACAAATCTTGAAAGTCCTTGAATTTGAAAACAGAAATTCAAGGCCTTGAATATTCTGGAATTTGTAAAGAAATAGTTGAAATTCCGTGAATTCTTCTTGTTTTAGTTCGTCTGAATTTTTTTGATATTCAAAAACGAACTTTTTGTTGAATTGATTTTGCATGTTCATATCTGACAAAGCTGTTTGAAATTCATTAAAGTTGCGTTTTGAACAATTCAACGTGACATTGTACTGATTTCTAACGTCTTCTTTTCGGTATTTAGTCCTTGAATTTGCTGATACATGTTCTTGAAAAGTCCTTGAATTTGACTCTCTCTGATATGTACGAGCCCTGATTTATCACCCAGGCTACACAGCCTACAAATAGATACTGTACTCTCTTTCGAGACGAACAAAAGATGTTTCAAGATGAACGAATGATAAATTGTACTTATTTATTGCTTGTACTGTAGATGTTTTTGTCAATACTTTTATTATCGTTTCTTTCAGGTGAAATCCTTGGTTTTGAATCGGTTGTCTTTAACTTGTTTGACTTTATTCACGCCCTAGTGGAATCGTCAAAGTTCAAAGCTGTTGTCAAAACTCATTTAGAACAGTTACTGTATTTTCTTCTTGTCTACATGGAGATAACTGAAGATCAGGTTTGTAAAGTATTAATGTCTGTATTAACATTACATATATTATTCAGCTCACTCCCCATTGGGGCTTTTCAGTGACCGATTGCATCAAGTATTACAGTACGCTTATACTTATGTTACTTATACTTAGCCTAGACTATTTATCTTTTACAACAATTATGATTACTTTCTTAACTGTGTTTATCGTATCCCACACTGCATGTCAACTTTCCCGGAAACTGGAGTGCGCGGAGAAACGCCACGACTTTCGGCAGACCGTTGACAGACTCTTTTCACATGAGTCCGAAAAGCGAGAATCGAACCAACGATCTCAGAGGTGAAAGGCTCTTGCTCTGACGACTTCGTCACCGAAGCTCCTCATTCTGAGCGAGCGTATTAGACTACCCTGCTATATACATGTACTTGTATTACTGCGGTGGCGCAAACTACCCTGCTATCTGCATGTACCTTTTCAACAGCTCTTCATGCATGACAATTATCCGGAGACAGCTCATAGACAGCTCAGTATACTCATAGAATTACAGCTAATACAGTATAACTAATGTATGGTTTATGATTTATTAATGCTTCTTCCAATATAGGGATAGCTAAAAATTGGCAATGATTGACACATCACGTGGTTGAGGATTTCTCTAATACGCTCTTTCAGAAAGTACTCGGCCTTGACTATCGAGCCTCGTGATTTGAGATATTGAGTTTAGAGTCCTTTATATATACAGTTGTATTAGATAATATAACATACCTTTAAGGCCAATTTACACTGCACAACTTAAGTTGTACTGTGTAAATCTACACAACTTAAGTTGTACTGTGTAAATCTACACAACTTAAGTTGTACTGTGTAAATCTACACAACTTAAGTTGTACTGTGTAAATCAAACACACAACTCACCTACGACACTACACAACGTCTGCCTAAAACTGACGCATGCAACCTGTTTACAACTTAACTTGTACTGTGTAAATGAAGCACACAACGTGCCTACTAAAATGAACTGTTTGCTTGTCAAAGTATATTTATTTTTTTATTATCTAAACCAATGTGTGCTGATCAGGTTCACCGCAACAGCGTCCTGGGACATCCTACAGTACAACGAAAAACGGACGCCCAAATTCTGTGGGGAAAGGGAAATTACTCTCAATGATTTCCATTAATATATCTGAAACGAAATATCTTAATTTTCAATATTTTTATACATTTGAAATTTTGATCAATTTGATGGCGTACCTGGTTGAGTGAAAATGTCGTAGTTTAAAGCACGGCGCACACTAGTGCAAGTTGCGATGAGCAGTTTGCTGCACACTAGGAATTTTTGGCACGAATGACAGAAAATATTAACTGTTTACCATCGGTTTTACGTCAATCAAATCTCTCTATTCATCAGTTTAAATCTAATCTCTTTAAACACTATCAGAAAATGTCCGAAAAATTTATGACATTGGTGTGCCACAAACTTTCAAAACAATCTGTGTTAAATGTCATTCATGTCGTCCCTTGTCTAGTCCCTCTGTTAAATCGTGTTGTTAATAATTATCACTTATATGTATTCTGTATAAATAGTTAAGGTTATCCGTAAAGGAGTATTCAGCTCTGTGGGTATAACCTGTCATTTATTTGACAAAGATTGTAAAATAAAAAAAATAAAAAATAAAGTATCAAACATGTTTGATATTTGTTGTTTACGACACGAGTGACAAAAATTCTGAATATTTTCCCCGGACACTAGGATTTTTGTCGCACGTAATTGGTCACGAATGACAAGTGTGCGTGCAACTTGCACTAGTGTGCGCCGGACTTAATAAAGAAGCATATATAGCGGCAAAAATCTCGAATGAGCTTTAGTTGGCTGGACAGATACTGACATGAAGTAACGTTTTCTCGAACGTCCCCCCCCGTCCCCCTACTGTAGATGTGTCATTATATGTGTTTTGGACAATACTTTCTAGGCATGCGCGTGGTCATCAGATCCTAGCAGATTTGTTGAAGATGAAGATGACGATTCATTCTCGTTCTCTGTTAGAATTTCTGCACAAAGTCTCTTGCTGGTGAGTATAGCTTCATTTCCTCCCAGGAATTCC